TTTTTTTTTTTTTTTTTGTTGGTTGCACAATGGGAGATAACGGGAGGTAACTATTTTTTGTCATTTATCTTACCCCACCCACAGGATCTCTTAATTCTAATGAAAGGAGATTATCATTGAACTATTTAGGTCGTTCGCGATTCTTACTTTTAAATACAAAAGTTTTGGAGATGACCACATGTGGCAAGCGCGCCACCATTTATGTGAAAATGAAGTATTTAATATTTGCTGCCTTGCGGTATCTTGGGTTAAGGCACATAGAATTTCAATGAGACTCGTGTACTTGATATAATTTTGGATGGTAAATTATACTCATGTATGTAAAGATCTAACTTTTGATTTTTTTTTTTTTTGAAAAGCAAAGGATTTTATTGTATTAAATGAATACAAGGGAAGATGTAACTTTTAATAATATTTAGGAAGATTATGATTTATATTATTACTGTCAAATTTATCATTTTTAAAAAGCAGGTTCTCTAGCTATTTGTTCTCTAATTTGGATTCGTTTCATTTAAAGACGAACAATACAATCATTATCAATTATTTTCCACTTGCAACGAGGGGATCGCTGTCATTAGAAATAATAGAATGGTATTTTTTTTCATTTAAATTGAGAATTATTTGACATTTAACTGTTGAAAATTTTATGTGGGCTTCAGTTAATTGTATTTGGTTTTCAAAATTAGGGCAAATGGAAAAATTTTCAAAATTAGGGCAAATGGAAAAATTTTGAAAACCGGTAAAACCCAATAAAGTTATATAATCAAAATAGGTCTAGGTTTTATTTCAATTTTATATGGTGTGATATGAATAGGTGTAGGGTCTAGAATCAAAGGTGGGCTACTTAATGGGGGTACCTAAAAATTTATTATAATGGGCTAGATCTTCTCTCCCATTTAGAAAACCCTACCTCTATAAATAGTAGTGTTAGGGAGTGGTATGACCTGTTAGCTGTCACTATACAGAAGTTGTATAGGAAGAGGAAGACCTAAATTCCAAAATATTAACTATATTTACTTTGTAGGTTTTGTTATGAGATTTCAAATTATGATGAGTTTCGAAAATCCTTAAAGATTCCTAAGTAACATATTAATTATGGAGATTTAGGTATGTAATTTATTTATTTTATTAGATTTTGGTATTGTAAATTCTATGTATGTTGATCTTTAAAATTCTAACATGTGGTATCAGAGTATGTTATATGTGGGTTTAGGATATTGAAATCGTTGTTGTGGGTTTTGACAATTTTATTGGAATTTTGTTTTGGGATTGTCAAGGTATTGTGTTTTAAATTATGATTAAATTCTTGGAATTTAGTTAACAAGTAATTAAGGTTTAAAATCTATTTTCAGCTACCGTTGAAACTAAGTTTAGTTGGTTTCAAAAATTGTTGTTATGACTGTTTAATCCATACTTAAAGTATTAAATAAAAAATTTTATTCCTAGACATAATTACTAAAAGATAGAAAAGGTAAGATATAATTCATAACTTAAGAAACCTAGTTTTGGTTTTCTAATTAGGTTATGTATATGTTTAATTAATAATTAAATTTGGGGTTTTTGTAGATTATGAATTTGCAATTGAATCTATTTAAGTTTTGTTCAACAACATGATAAAACACAAAAGGTGAAAATTATGAAATGTTATTGTGACAGGGATGATTAATGGGAAAATTACTAATTGGTCCTTTAATAGTTTTGTTTAGTGCAAGTTTGTCCTCTTTAGTAAAATTATAGAACAATGGTTGGATATTGAATTTAAGACTGACTGCTATTTAATCCCTCTATTTTTCTTAAGTGTTCAAAATATTTTTTTTTAAGTATTCAAAATAATCTCCATAAATGATTATGTGATATGAAGGTGAATTTAGTTGAATCTTTTGAGATTTGTGGATTTATGTTATCATATTCTTCTATTGTTTAATGTCCTATTAAAATTAACTAATTTAAAAGAAGATTAAAAAACAAGACGCTGATTAACATACACTCTAGTTCCTATTTGGTTTAAGTACCATTTTGATCCCTCAACTTTATGTTTTGGTACCAAAATTATCTTTTACTTTTAAAAAGTATCAAAATTATCTTTAAACTTTCATTTTTGGTACCAAAATTGTCCTTCCGTAAGTTAAATAACAGGTGTCACGTTAAGTTGCTAAAAAATTATACTTTTTTTAACAAAATATTGATTTGGAAAAGAAAACAGATGTAAGTTGATGAGGTGGCACTTTTTTTTTATTTACATGGCATTTTTAATTTTAACAAATAAATAAGAAATTGATTATTATTAATTAATTAAAATCATTTCCAAAATTCCCAAAATTAACCTTCTTCTTCACTCTTCCTCTCTGTCTCTCTCTCGTCCTGGGCCATCATTCCTTCTCCATCTCCTCCAACATCTATTCCCATTCCATTTTTCCATTTCACCATTTTGGGTTTTT